ATTACCTCTGATAATCCTTCCACTCCCTCTTCCATGATTATCCCTGAGTCTTGTGCGGTGGGGGGAATGTGATCTAGATGTTCCATTTAGAGCTGAGCACTTCACAGTCTCTTATTCTCTATAGTCATGTGTCTCTATAGAAATCACTACTGCAAAAAGAAGCTTCTCTGATGTGGGTTGAGAGATGTACTAATCCATGAATATAAAGTAAGAACTTAGGGGCAGTTTATTACTATGCAGAGTAATAGAACTAGATTTACCCTTATGACTTACCAAGCCACAGATTTTTGGCCCTGTTAATGCTGCCAGGCATGAGTTCCACCTTGTGAAACAGGCCTTAAATTCAATTATAACGTGGTTGGTTACTCCTCTTACATTTGTGCCACTATTGCATCAGTATGTATCTCTTGCCAGACCAGTCATTATTAAAACTCACAGGGTTCCAGCTGGGTAAGACTATTGATGACTTTTCTCCCCCAGTAGTGTACATAACATATTCCAGCACTATGAAAGCTAGCCAGTAGGAATGAAGCTTCTAGGTTAAGACAAGCTTATTTTCTTAATTTCTTATATGATTCAAGTATGTAGTGTCTTCAGCAATAGGGTCTTACTATCAAATTCTGGAGAGTAACCAAGAACAATGGAAATAGCCTATATGGGGGAGTCTATGGGACCCCAGTGGACAACTTGGAGAGAGCTAACCCATACTATTTTTTGATAGCCTATGGAGAGACATTAAATGGAAAACTCCATTTAAACTCATTTTATATATGTATATGTGTATATTTTAGGAAACTTCTACAGTTCTGTACTTTTCAAAAATGTGCCTCTCCTTTATTTCCCAAGCAAAATTATAAGGCTTGTAGACATCTTTGATATTTCTTAGTTCACCACCCACCTTTCCCAGTCCCTGTCCCAGTTCCATGCCCGTGTTCTTCTGCAGGTGACTTGATATCACCTTTAGGTTCCAGCCATATACCTGTGCTTATCCTCTACTGAAACTAACTTGGGTTTTACTTTTTGAAATGAGGTCTTTCTATGTAGCCCAGGCTGGTCTTGAACTCATGGTCTTCCTGCCTCAGCCTCCTGAGTTGCTGGGATTATATGAACACCTTCCATAATGCCCAACTGTGCCTTTTTGAAGTGAAGTGTATGTATAGACTCACATAAGTACTTTAATGGATCTGTGTTGATAGTTGCCTGTGTAAGTATGAGTGGAAACCACATGCCCTCCCTCTCCCCTTCTTTCCTTTTCCCTCCTCTAACTTTTCTTCCTTTGTTCTTTGGAACTCCCTTCTTCCCTCCTTCTCCTCTTAGGTCTCATCCTCTCCATCCTAGGCACTGAGGTCCTGAGCCCTTTAATGAAAGTGAAAGAAGGAATTCAGCAATAGAACTTAAGAATGTAGTGACCCAAGACCCACTCTTTCCACCTTTGGATAAAGGCAATCTTGTTCAAAATCCTTCAAGGAAATGTCAAGATCCCTAAGAGGAAACCACATTATTAGTTATTGTGATAGATTATAAATGTGTTGGTCACAAATTCCCAAAATTAACTAATGAATTAAAATGCTGTACATACATTGTATTGGTTATGATAGATAATTTTTCCACCTTTAACCCCTTAGAATATGCAGGCATCTGCATTTTCTCTTATTTTTTTCAATTTATTTTTGTTTTTAATTATGTGTTTGCATGTGTATCTATGTGTAGGAATGTGCACATGAGTGCAGGTGCCCATGGAAACCAAAGGTGTCCAATCCCCTAGGAGCTGGAGTTACAGGCATTTATCAGGCACCCGATGTGGTTGCTGGAAATTGAACTCAGGTCCTCTGGAAGAGCAGTTTGCGGTCTTAACCTACTAAGCCAGTCCTCCAGCCTTCCTCATATTTTTAAAATATTTTATTTATTATTTTTATTTTATGTGTATGAGTGTATTGCCTGCATGCGAGTGCACCCGTGTCGTGCAATGCCGCGGAGGTCAGAAAAGGGCTTCGGATTCCCCTGGAACTGGAGTTAAGGAGCCCAGTTTCTATTCCTTCCTCATATTTTTAAGTGTTGTGTTTGTGGGAACTTAGAGAAATTTCCACAAATGATACATTTGTTGCTCTTTGTCATTTGAGACCAAGTCTTCTTAAATAGTCCAGGCTGACCTGAAACTCCTTGCAAGTGCTGGAAACAATTATTCTTGATTATGCTAATATTTACTAACTGTGTAAGAGCACTGTAGAAAGTGCAGTCCTCTGTTGTCTCACCTTATCCTCCCCACCCAGTTAACAGATTACAATCTTCCTTTCCTATGTATGTAAGCATCTTTTTGCATGATGCTAGGGATGGATGGAACCCAGGGCTGATACATACTGGGCACCAAGCTACATCCCCAACTCTGTGCATTTAAAAAAAATCATCGGTACATATTTCTAAAATCCATCTCTTTCCAAAGGATTATCCCAAGGCAATTAGTAAATGAACTTGTCTAGAGATTTTTCAGTTAATTCATTTTTATGTTGTATATGTGTATGAATGTTTTGTGTGCATGTATATAAGTGCACCCATGCACAAAATGCCTCTAGAGGCTGGAAAAGAGCATCAAATCTCAAGGAACTGAAATTACAGATGGTTGTTAGCACCATGTGGGCACTGGGAACTGAACCTGGGTCCTCTGCAAGATCAACCAGTGCTCTTAATCTCTGAGCTGTCTCTCTAGTCCTTTGTCTAGGGATTTTAGTATTCTTTTGGTTTTTAAGGCAACGCAACTCGAGATTTATATTTTATTCAATTCTCTTAACTGTACATTTGGTTTTCTTTATTTCTTAATAACTTGGCGTTCCTAAGTGTGTTTGTCATTGTTTTAACCACTTGTCACATACTGTATTTTCTTGGCTCATATCTCAACCACATCCTCACTAAACTATCTTGATTAGCATATTTTAAAAGTAGAATCATAACACTATGACAGTTGGGGCTTTGGAGCTCCTATTGGCATCATGAGAATTCTGTCTATGAAGACTTTCCCAAGCAATAATTAGTCAACTAGGATTGTTTAACAGCCTCTAGGGTTCAAAAAGTCATTTCATCTTATTAAGTCTACTTATTTTGAAATACGTCTCTTCTGAGTAATGAAAAAATGAAATCAATTAATAATGCACATTAAATTATTTCCAGAATTATTAGGAAAGTATCTTTTATTTAAGTCTTTCTAAAATTTTGGGATATTCAGGGCAGCTCTTGTTTTAAAGATGGATGATGAGACTGGAGAGGTTGTTCAGTGGTTAGAACACTGGCTGCTCTTACAAAGAACTCAGGTTTGATTCCCAGCACCCACATGGAGGCTAGCAACTGTCCTAACTCCAGTTCCAGGAGATCTGACACCCTCTTGTGACTTCCAGAAGCATTGCATGACACAGGTACACTTACATACATGCAAGCAATACACTCATACACATAAAATAAAAATAGTGAATAAAACTTTTGTTTAGTATGAATGGTTATATATAACCTGAAATGCAGAGGGTGCTCCCACCCTATTCTTTCCTTCTTTTGCACTGAATTGTTCAAATTTTCTATAATCCAGGAATAATGTTTATTTTTCCTTTTCCCCTAAAAATATAACACACAGGGGCAGGAGAGATGGCTTAGCAGTTAAGACTACTAACTGTTCTTGCAGAGGACCTGGGTCCAGTTCCCAGTACTAAATGGCAGCTAACAACCATCTGAAACTCCAGTTCCAGGGGATTCCATTTCCTCTTCATGCCTCCTTGGGCATTGTATGATGTGGGTATATGTACATATATGCAAGCAAAATACTCACACATATAAAATAAAAGTAAATTTTTAAAGCTTTTTAATGTAACACACAAATTTTACTTAGCTATATCTGAATTTAACCAGAGGCTTTGCTGTCTTCTGGAACAGTGCAAAGACTTAATGTTTTCATTCTGATATCCCCTCCTGACTCCCTTACTGTTGTTATTCAGGATTTTAACTGTACTTGCTTGTTTTTATGCCAGGAATTAAACATCATCATCATCATTCTGTTTCCATTTCCTAGCCTGCAGAGGCCAGAAGAGGATGATAGAGCCCCTGGAACTGGGAGTTACGGACGGTTGTTAGTTGCCATGTGGGTGCTAGGAACTATACCTGACTCCTATGCCCTTAACTGCTAAGCCATCTCTCCAGCCCAAGAACACCACTTTCAAGGTCACACAACCCAATATTCTTCCAGTAACTTATGACATGGTTTCCTCATGTAATAGGAGAAAGTTGGACTGTGTGATCTCGGATTTGTTCTTTGATGAATATAGATTGTGACTGTAGTTATATGTACATTTTTTTAAAAGTTTCAAAGGCATGTATTTATCCTGTATTTGTATAGAATCTGTGATCCAGGTTTGGTGGTACATATCTACAACCTCAGCACTTAGAATTAGAAGCAAGAGATGAGGGGTTCAAGGCCAACCTCTGCAATATAATATGTTCCAGGCTAGCCTGGGTTACATGAGACCCAGTCTCAAAACATAAGATAAAAATAGATAATTAATAAATCAGTGATCCCCTTGTATATAGAAAAAGATTTGATGTTCCTGTCATAAGGTAATCTTGAGGAGGTGTACTACATCTGTAATATTGGTGCTGCTATTTTGGAAGATGGTCCTTTTTCATCTCCTTCTATGTGACATGTGTCTCCATGGGATAACTCAAGTGCTTATTTTTCTGCTATAAAGAATGGTTGCATTTAAATATAGCCACAGTGCTTGTTTTTAATCATCATAACTCCTGGCACTGACGCTTTTATGTAGAGTGTTCAGTCATTGTTATAAGGTAGACAAATGATGACCCCCATGAAGATTCATCAACCACAGCTTTTGGAGACCTCTGAATTATGATAAGATTGTTGACTGGCAGGTTCGTAATTTTCTACAAGTACCAGGAAAAGAAGTCATAAAATAATTCATACCCATTTGAGAAAAGAAATTAATATTTCGTAAAAAATTATTTTCTAGTGAAGGAAGCCCATCGCCCAGGGAGGAGCTGCTGCATAATATTGACCCCGACTTCCTGGACAGTTCGCCATGTGAGTACCCAGTCAGGGTTGCTGTGTTAAGCGTCTTTGGCTCATTAACACAGTTTTCTTTTGTACCCACTATCCCTGTAGCCTAGCTCTCTCTGTCCCCTGGAGTTGCTGTGTAGGTAAACAGTTCTTCCAGACACATGCTCTATATGCTCATGGTGGCTTTGGCATTCTGTGAAATGAATACCAGGCGATGAGTCTAAGTAGTAAAGTCTGTTTTGGGCTGTGCTGTTTACTGACTGCCTATAGCAGGAGTCCCTGGGACCTCTGAGGCCCCTTTGCACTGCAGATGTCACCTGAGAGTTCCAGAACCTTCTTCCAGAAAATTCACTATCAAGTAAGGCACTGTCCGGCTCTGGGGTGATGGGGGACCCCAGGTCATCTGATAGAGTTGACCAGGTGCTGTCTAGTGCCTGCTGAGTCTCACAGGTGTGAATTTCCTAACAATCGTGGAAGTAATTCAGCCCTGCTCTGCCTGTTGCCTAAATTAACTGTAAGGAGCCCTGGCAGTTCCTCAGGGCAGTTTCCTATACTCACATCCCCTCCTTTCTAGACATTCCAGGTAACCTTCATTAACGCTCTTTACTTTCTTGCCCTTTCCAATCTGTGCTATCAGTGACCATAAGATTCTCCTATTTAGACATTCTTGCTCAGAGGGTTATTCTAACTGTGTTATTGGGCACTCAGCACTGACCAGCGACTGTGTTCTTGCCCAACCTTACCCACCTGCTTGCCATTTCTAAGCACAGATGATTATACTATCCCCAGATTCAAAATATCTGTTCCCTACCTCTCCAGCACTCTCAAAGCTTTTTAGAGGCTCCATCACAAACAGTTGTTCCTTCCTCAGTGTCCCTTTGTACCTTGGAATACCATCAGTCACACTGCCTGCTTGTGCCTGCATTTCCCTCTAACAAGAAGGGACTGGACATCAGGGTCTATGACCTGTTTATCTTTTGACACTCATCAGTTAACACAAATGCGCAGCACTTGGTAAGCACTTGTTAATGATTACTTGATGACAGAGTAAACGATTGGAAGACAGCTTAGATGCAATAAAAGTTATGAAATTTCCAAGAAAATGGATGAATCTGAAAATTATCGAGCAAGAAAATCCAGAGTCAGGAAGACAAATGCAGCACATTCACTGACGTATGCCAGTTCTAGCTTTTGATGTTTAGATATGTGAAAACACATGAGTGTGAGTGTGGGTATCGGTCCTGAAACTGGAAGAGACCCTAAAAGAGGAAGGAGGGTTTTGAGACAAGGGATCAGGTAATAGGGCATGTAAAGGGTTGGACAACAAAAGCTATGATGGAAAATGCCGTAGAGAACCTAATACTCCGCATGTTAACTTTAAAAAACTGAACAATACAACAAGAAACCCAAAGTAGACACATTAAACCAGAAAAAGAAAGGGCCCCAGAGAGCCAAGAAATTTCTATTGGAGTAAACTCATGTTAGAGGGAAAGGCAAGAGTAGGCTTTAGGGCCTGAGAATTCAGAACAGTCTAGATGTGTGCTGTCCACTGTGATAGCCACTAGACACATGCTGCTGTTAGGAATTTGAAATGTGACTAATTGTGAGTACAGAGGTCAGATGTAAGTATAAAATACACACCAACTTTGAAAGCTCGGTATGCACATATGATAGATACGGGTATGTCATAATATGCCTTATTTTACTTGTTGGAGTAACAGCATTTTGAATATACTATTAATGTTCCACTTGTTTCTTTTTCTTTTTCTTAAATGTAACTAATAGAAAATTAAAATTTTGTATGTGACTTGCCTTACATTTCTACTGATTTAGAAAGGCTATTCTAGAAGGTGCTAAGTTCATCAGCTACCTAGAAATCAGAGACCTGTGATTAGTTACTATGAGGCTACATCAATGATTCTAAACTTTCCCTGCCCCTGCACACCTCACATATGCCTATTCCAGTTATGTCAAAGTCTCTAGGTATGGTTGATGGAGAACAGTGAGAAGACAGGAATGGGTTAAAAACCTTCTAAGTCATTCAGTGCACAGCAAAACCCAGGAAAGCCCTAATCCAGGTTATCCAGAATATGCTGCCTACATAATGGCTACAGACTGCCTTCATCTGCTAAATCCATGCACAAAACTTTGAGTCTATGCTCGCGGGGCTGTGGTTTAGTTTGGCAGCTTGAGAACTAGATTCTGTTTTTTTTTTTTAATGTGTATGTGTGTATTGCCTGCATGTAGGTAAGTACACCCATGTTGTGCAATGCCTGTGGAGGACAGAAGAGGCTGTCAAATCCCCTGGAACTGGAGTTATGGACAGTTGTTAGCTGTCATATGGGTTCTGGGATTCAAACCCGGGTCTTCTGCAAGAACATTCAATGTTCTTAACCACTGAGCCATCTCTCCAGCCTGAGAACTAGATTCTTATGTGGCTGTCACAGCCCTGCTTGTAACAGGGTTCTTTTTGTATCCTACCATCATTTTTTTTTTTGCCTCCCTAAAATACTCCTAGCAAAATAACAACACAGACAAAAGGATCTTGCAGTGGGAAAGTTAGTAAGGGAGTGGAAGTTAGGGCAAAGAACTCACCACTTGCAGATTGTAAGGATGCTCCATTTGCTTGGACTCGGTTTCCTGCATATTATTTGGTGGATGTGCTAGGTTCCATCATTGCTGTCAGCAATTCGGGAGCGTATTTTAGCTTTCTCTTGTCCCTCGTGACTTCTATAATGTCCTCTTCACATTGGCTTCCCCACCAGCTTGGAAATGCTGTTGTGATTCTTGCGTGTAAGAAAAGCCATCATCAGGCTTTCTCTGTTGGTTAACATAAACAGGGTCTTCTCTGTTATCTCGGTTTACAGAGAGCATTGTACCCTTCCTTTCCTCACACAGAGTGACACTGTGGGTCTTTTCTGCCCAGTCTGGATTTTCTTTGGTCTACTGTGAGGCAGAAGCAGTGGGGAAAGGAGCTATCTTTGGGGTCTGCTGCTTTTTACCATGATGATACAAGCTTGCTTCCTTTTATGTACCATTATTTGTAGGAGAAACGTTAAATCCAGTTATAAGAAGATATGGACTTAGAGAACAGCAACATCTGGAAAGTATAAGAATATTCTGTATATTCTAGAAACTCAAGAAATTAGAAAGCAGCCAATCTAATGCATCAATTAAGCACTGACATTTGAACCTATGTTGCCACAGGTTGTTTCCAAATACATAGTTGTTTCCAAACTCTAGTGCCTCCCAGACTGATTGTCAAACTTAGGGGAGAAAAGTACAATGTCTCATCTCCACCTGCCCCCAAACCACTTATCAGTCTCTTCATCTGTGAAGACTGAATTAAATGGTCTTGAAGGCCCCTTCCAACTTCAGTGTTCTGTGAGACTCTGTCAGTGGAACCTTAAAAGAGAAAGCTTAGTTTCTCTCATTTTTAACCCTGATAAAAACAAGTACATCTGTTAAAAAGCAGCAGTGTTGTCAAAGACATGGTCACAGATGAATGAATGCAGGTGAAACGTCCGTGGGATAAGCAGTTGTTGGGTTACTGTGCGGTTTTGCTGTTGCCACATCAGGCCCACCCTTCTGAGCCCTGTTCCATGAAAGTCTCTCCATCTCTTCTCTCCTTTTCTAAAGTCTCCTCAAATCATGAACTATAAGAACAGTCACTGGATGTTTCCCAGGGGAGCCTGGCCTTCTCCATAGCACCAGATTCCTCAGAAGCTGGCTCTTGGAGTGTATGAGTTATTTCATACCATCTCTTACTCAGAGCACAGCCAGGGCCCTTCCAGCTAGTGGAATTAGCATTTCACCCATGGTTACATATACTTGCTAAGTTGAGACTTGGATACTCATGACAAAAATACTATAAGACTGCGACAGAAGATTGGTGGACACACAGGTACACACAAAGCGGGCATCACAGGCTGTCTCATAACCCAAGGTGGTCACAGTTCTGTGGCAGCCATAAACAAACCTCAAAGATGTGTAGATCATCCATAGGATACTACTGTCACAGGGCGAGTATTGATGTTGATGACAATGTGAAGATATTAAAATCCTTGTGTAAAATGTAAACTTTGTATAAACTGCAAAGCACCGTATAGTTCCTCAAAAAGCTGGACTTCTCATAGGACTGAGCAATCCTACCTCCATATATGTAATCAAAAGAATTGAAAACAGAGGTTCTAATATATTTTCACACCTGTGCTCATCACAGCATTGTTCCCAGTTACCAAGGACAACAGGCAAACTAAGTGTCCAAAATGAATGGGATATAACCCCAGGGAAAGGCACTTACCTCGTGTACATAAGACGACCCTGGGTTGAATCCCTAGTACCACAACATCAGTATAAAACTCAGATGGCAAAATGCAGTAGAATATTATTTACCCTTAAAAGGGAAGGAGATCATAGCACATATTACAACACAGATGAACCTTATGGAATATCATACTAAGTGAAACATATCAGTCACAAAAGCGCAGATCCACGACTTCACGTATATGAAGCGTATTCATGTTCACAGACAGAAAGCACAGTGATGGTTGCCAGGGCCCTAGAGAAGGAAATGGGCAATTATTGTCTAACAGGAATAGAGTTTCAGTTTTGCAAGGTGACGTTCTCAAGATGGATGTAGAGATGGAAGCACACCAGTATGAATGCATTCGAGGCATCTGAGCTGTGCAATTAAAATGAGTTAAAATGGCAAATTTTGTGCCAATCATATGTTATAATTTTTTAATTTCTAAGGAAGAGGGTAAAGGAAAATTTCTAGAAGGGTAGCAGTCTTTGTCTTTTGCAATTTCTACTATATGCATAGCATGAGCCTGCCATCATACTAAGTTCTCAGTAAACACGTGTTAATAAGGGATAAACAGACCAGCTTATGCAAGTCACTATTTTATCATCTCATAGCCTTCCCTGAACCTACAAATACCTCTAGATGGCAGTTCTCCAACATCTCCCATGTCCTGCATTTGGAGTCAAAATGACATAACTTAAAGCCATGGCTTCATTTT